GTTCGGACCAAAATTAAATCCCCCATTCACCCACGAGCCCGAATATATAATTTATCCTCAAATTCGACCCCAAAATAAGGTCTAAATCAAGAAAAAGTAAAAAGCCCTAGTTCTACCCTTTCCCCCCAATTTCTACCCTAACTTACATGTTCTAGGCCTAGGATTTCAATAAATAATGATGGAAGATGAAGAAAACGAGTTAAACAATACTTACTCGAGAAGCTTTGGTGAAGAAGTGCTCTAAAAATCGCCTAGAAGCTTTGGAGAAGAAAGGGTTCGTGTATTTGGTGAGAATTTCCCGTCACTGTTCTGTTTTGGACATTTTAAATAACTGGGCAAAATTGCCCTATGCGATCGCGAAGAAAGAGATGCGATCGCATAGAGGAAGGGGGTAATTGGTCACTGCGATCGCGATGAGGGTACTGCGATCGCATAGAAGGAGCAGACTGACCATTGCGATCGCGAATGAGACTATGCGATCGCGTAGAGAAAATTTCGGGCACCTGAGACCTACACTATGCGATCGCGGGAGGGAGTATGCGATCGCGTAGAACAAACTGGACTCCTGGAATTTTACATTATGCGATCGCGGAACCAACTATGCGATCGCATAGAACAAGGAACTGGGCAACAGCAGACAGCAGATTCTGCAATTTTTCCTAAGTACGAAACACTCCGACGCCTATCCGAAACTCACTCGAGCCCTCGAGGCTCCAAACCAAACACATACACTAACTCAACAACATCCTACAAACTTATTCGTGCGATCAAATTGCCAAAATAACATCATAAACATCGAATTAAACCTCAAAATCCATGAATTCTTTCAAACTTCATAAAACATCAAATTTTCCAATTTAAGTCCGAATCACGTCAAACGACGTCCATTTTCAACCAAATTTTACAGGAAGGACTTAAAATATATATAAGACCTGTACCGGGCGCCGAAACCAAAATACGGGCCCGATACCAACACGTTCTAATCAATTTTCAATTCAAATTTCCTTAACAATTTCAGAAAAATAATTTCACTCAAAAATTCATTTCTTGGGCTTGGGACCTCGGAATTCGATTCCGGGCATACGCCCGAGTCCCATATTTTTCTACGGACCCTCCAGGACCGTCAAATTACGGGTCCGGGTCCGTTTACCCAAAGTGTTGACCAAAGTCAAACTTATTCATTTTAATACCAAATTTTAGCATTTTTCATAGAATTTCACATTTCGGCTTTCTGGCTACACGCCCGGACTTCGCACGCAAATCGAGGGGGCTAAAATGAGGTTTTCAAGGTCTCGGAAGCACGGAATAAATAGGAAAACAGGTAATGACCCTTTGGGTCGTCACAATAGATGTCCCTGTAAAGAGGTGTGAAAGATTGATTGCAGCGCGTCCAAGAAGGGGCGTGGTTGGCCGAAGAAATATTGCGAAAAGGTGATCACACAGGACGTGGCACATTTCCACCTTACCAAGGACATGGCCCTGTGATATGAGGATATGGAGATCGAAGATTAGGGTTGTAGATTAGTTCATAATCGAGCATATTTCCTTTCCCCCCTGTATTTCTTCCCTAGTTGTAGTACTATGTTATCCTTGTGTTCCTTATTTTTAAATCGTTATTATTTACTTGAGGTTCTCTTTGCTTCGTTTTATTTTTTCTGAATGTTGTAACTATTTTGTTTGTTGTAGTTCTCAGTCATAACTGTAAGGACTGCGTACGTATTATCCTTCCCGGACTTTACTTGTGGGAAAATAGTGTTGTTGATGAAAATTCATCAGTTAATGGAATACGCATTGACTACTTCAAATGATAGTAACATTTTAAATTTATAAGGAATTTTTCTTATTATTCTCTATATTTTTATTGAACAGAAAACAACAAGAATAATACTAGTAGTAGTAAAGAAGTTCAAGCTTATCCTTATCAAACAAAAAATAAATGTAGAGCAATATTGACTACTGCAAAAGAAAATAACATTAGAGATAAGCACACAATATATCTTTTTTTTTTGTTTCTTATTACATAAATAGTACAAGCCATTTTCACACCTTATGAGCCAGTAAAGTAGTTGGACCACATCAAAATCATTCGAATTGACAGACACTTTATGCAAAATCTTTCTTAGAGGAACAAATTAGGACTTTTACTATATTTAGAGGGGTCAAATAATGATGAAACACCTACATAAACAAATGAAAATTGACAAGATAAAGTCCAAATCCTTTTTCTTGCATAAAACTGTATTAATTTTTCATCTATTCAATAAATAGTTTTTTTTTTGGTTGAAGGCAACAAATAATTATACTAAAACAGAATTACATCAGAGAAACATCTCTATTACATAAATGAGAAGCATTAGAACAAAGAATAGTTTTCTTCGTTCTCCCTTGCTTTCTTCCTAATGTAGTTCATGATACCTTGTATGGTTTTTGTTTTTTCACAAGAAATAAGTAGAAAATTACGATGGATTAATAGTGTCAATAATCGAATGACGCTACATGTACTAAGCATAATGAAGTTATTATTTACTTTCACTTTTAGCTCACTATAATTTATTATATGAATTACATTAACTAAAATCCCACAACATTACAGAGAATCGATAGCTTGACTACTTACTAAAATATGATTTTGAAAAACTTTAGAAATGCTAAAGGCAGTATTTCTTATTCCTATAGTTATATACAAATATTTATCATCCGATATTTATACGAAAATACATAATTCAATTTTAATAGTAAAAAAACAATGTAACAATACATTCCAGTTTTATCGTGTAGAAATGATCAGTGTACTTATAAAAAATACATTCTGTATCGATTGATTTTGTATAAATATTAAGTGAAGATTAACTTTTACATCTAATTATTATGTCTCTTAGTGAATGATTTAGTGGTTGAGACATGAGAGTAACAACATGAAAATTTCACTTTTGATCCTACAATTATTTAGTGTGAGACTGCAACTAACAATTAGTACTGCACCTCAATATCAAAAAAGACAATTGAGGTAGTGAATATGATTACTTTGAAAACACAATTTGTGCTTTTAAATTAGAAAGTGACATGAATATTTGGCTACACAATTTGTGCTTGTAAATTACTCCCTCCGTCTTAAATTAGCTGTCGTGATTCCTAAAAATAGTTATTTCATATTATTTATCATTTTAGAAGTTCTAAATTAAATTAATTGTTTTTCCTATTTTTCCGTAACATTAATTATTCTTCAAGACTACAATTATTAATATATTTTTAAAGGGTGTGTAAAAGAGAAACACATAGGTAATTTGAGACGGAGGAAGTAGAAAGTGACATGGATTAATTGAAAAATTATCATATATCTTGTAACACTAGTAGTTATTTGAATGACTATTTTGACTAGTTGAATGGAAAATTAGGGGAAAAGGTAATATTTTCTCTAAATAATTAGACAAAAAAATTAGACCGTATATTCAGGAAATGAATTTGTTTTGTTATAAAAACAAACGTATATATAAAATCCAAAAAAGCCTCTCAAAAATAGTACTGCACAGTACTCATATAATTGCAGTTTCCGATTGAAACGGCACATAGCAATTGCCTCCCCACTAGACTTCAACTAATGAATCAGAGTCCACGTGTCAATACCCCAGGATGAAGACAAATTTTCCAGCCAATCGGTCCTTTCACCTTTTTCATTTACATAGGTACCCCTTATATTTTATAAATTTACTGAACTATTACATTATCGTTCTTTTTGGCATAAAAAGGGAAAATAATTTACATGATAATTTTCAATTTAGAAAGAGAGTTTTTTTGACTGAAGAAATGCCGGAGACAAGGATTCTATTTAGAGAACAAAACTATTTGCTCTTATATCGAATCAATTTACTCTCTGCTTAATTATGTAAATCAAAAATTAAAATAATACTTATTCTTACCAAAATGAGAAGGATATCTGCATCTTGCTATTTCATTTAACAAGTGATGAATGAAGATCATAAAAAAGTTACCAATAATCAAAATTTACACCAAATTAATGGATGTATGTCAAGTGTTTTGTTTATGCAATTTATCATTTAACGATGATTAATTATTATACGTACTTACCTCAATTTAACAGTTAATCATGATAAACTAAAATAGTTTGGTGAACTTTTAATGTGAACTTTCCATTGTTTGACAATTAGATAGATTTTAATTATATTACAGATTTCCAGTGTGAAACTATTAATTGAAAAAATCATCAAAATAATTTATATTAGGTAAAAAACCAAATTATGCATCTTATTTTCTCATTAGATTAGCCTGTTTTACATATTTAAATAGAAAAATAATATAAACGAGAAAAGCTAAATAAATTCCTTCATAATTTCTTAATTCATCTAGTAACAGTATGTTATTTAAATTCCACCATTGTACCAAATTATTTATATCCTTCTTCAAAATTTTATGTCCCTTGTCATTTTCAATCTTTTCACGGACATAGTAAACGTAAATTATATAGCTGAATAAACGCTTTCTAGAAAATAAAGCTGGATAAGTAAAATTGTACTAAAAAAAAATATTGTATAGGCATTCTAAATTAATGTCCAAAAAAATTATATATTTTTATATATTATATTCAAAAAATATATAAATTTTTTACGCTTATGCGATTATCCGATATAATGCGAGTTAAAAATGATCTTTGGGATAAAGAAAAAAGATTATAAAACCAAATATCACATTTCTTAAAATATTCTCATCAAATGATGTACTCCTTTTATTTTTGACCTGTAGTATTTTTTATTTTTTTTCCCAATCATATACTCCATTATTTTTCAAACAAGAAAATTGGTTATTTATTATATGTATGTATACATTATAGTTATACTTAAAAAGAAAAGAAGAAGAAAATGTGTGTGTAGCGTGTATAATTACAGTACTAGTATATGTAATACAGAGATTCATAATTAACATATACATATCTCCGCGTATATGTCTTCGAAATATGCTTATGACATAAATGTCTAAACAAAACTCTCTGTCTCTCTCTCTCTCTTTCTAATCTTACATATTTCCACTTCTTCTTGTCTATATTTTTGTCACCCCCCATTTCTCCTTTTTCTTCCATTGCAGCCCCCTTCCCCCCCCCCTCTCTCTCTCTCTCTATATGCCCTAAAAATCCAATATAAAGAATACCCTTTTCTTTTACATAGCCGCTATATCTCTTCTCTGTCCTAACACTCTGTTTTATCAAACATTTTCCCCCATTTCTCTTGCTCAAGATTCATCCTTTATATCTGAAAATGTTTTGTTAAAACACATATACTACTACTAAAGAACGAAACTTGTTTTGTTTAAGTGAAGATTGATACTAAGATAAAGTTTTTTTTTAGGTATTTAAATGGCACCGAGTATGGATTGTGCAGTTTCTAGTCTTTTGTGTGCAGAAGACAACAACAGTATTTTTTACAATGAGGACTATGATGATGTTGGATTTGTTGAGGAAGACAGATGGTATTCTAGGAATCATCGAAATGGTCAAGAAAACAACAAGAGGTTGTTTTATGGGGAAGAATCTTTGACTGGTATTCCATTACAGAGTGAGGAGTGTTTAGCTTTGATGATTGAAAAGGAATGTGAACATATGCCTGCTGTTGATTACTTAGATAGATTGAGAAATGGTGATTTGGATATTGGTGCTAGAGATGAGATTCTTGATTGGATTGCTAAGGTTGGTTCATCACCATTTTTTAAAATGGGAATTGTTGATTAATGTTTCTTAATCACTTAGATTAATCAGATTTCACGTTTAAAATATTTAGATGTGTCTTTTGAAGTTATTAAGATTCCTTAAACAGTGTTTGGGGGGTTTGTCAATGATGTAATTTTTCTTGTTCCAAAAGGAGGAGGTTGATATTATGTCATTATTAACTTTGGGGGGTTTTGGTTGTTGGTTAGGGTGGGGTTTGATGAATGGTTTTTGGTGGGATACTTTTTGGTGTTTTGTTTAATGGTCAGCTAATGCTGATACGTTAAATGAGTGGGATTAATTTTTGTGTCTTTTTTTGGTATGTCACCAAATTCTTAGCTGTCTGTAATTGATTCTTAACCTTTTTACTTGTCTTGTTTTGCTTCTTGTGTATCAGTTACTACTATTTGTATTTATTTTTGGTTGAGTAGTAGATAATAAGTAACTCTAATGGTGGATCATTATTTGCAGGTTCATTCACATTTCAGTTTTGGGCCAATGTGTGCTTATTTGGCTGTCAACTACTTTGATAGATTCCTTTCTGCCTATGACTTACCTGTAAGTGTTTTCGATTACTGAATTTAGTATTACTCTTAGTTTCATTTGATCAAATTGCTAATAGTATATGTTGTTGTTTTTTTATATATATATAGAAGGGTAAAGCTTGGATGATGCAGTTACTTGGTGTAGCTTGTTTGTCTCTTGCTGCTAAAATGGAGGAGACTGATGTTCCTCTATCTCTAGATTTACAGGTAAATATTTCAAGAAATCTTTAAGTTTCTGGTAATGGCTAAATTAATGGTTGTGAAATCGTTACAGGTTGAGGATGCAAAGTTTGTATTTGAAGCAAGAACTATACAAAGAATGGAACTCCTTGTGTTGAGCACATTGAAATGGAGAATGCAGGCTATAACTCCATTCTCATTCATTGATTATTTCCTAAAGAAGATAAATGATGATCAAATTGCTACAACATCTTTAATCAATAAATCAGTACAACTCTTACTAAGCACACTTAAAGGTAAGGTTCATGAGATAATTATTAGGATGTTGATTTGTGCTTATGGCTAATCTGTGGGTGGGTGAAAATTAAATGCAGGAATTCACTTGTTGGAATACAAGCCTTCTGAGATAGCAGCAGCAGCAGTGGCAATCTCAGTTGCAGTAAAAACTGAGACAATAGACAGTGAGAAAGCAGTATCTGCTCTAGTTCAGCATGTACAAAAGGTAAATATTAGTGGTCCAAAAACAGCATTATCATTTATTCACTTTTCAATCCTATCATTTTCATGTTGATTAACTCTATCTTCTTTACTTAGCTTTTGCAGGATAAAGTGATGAAATGTGTTGAATTGATTCAAGAATTAGTATGTTTTATTAAAGGACCAAATGCTTCTTCAATTCCTCAAAGTCCAATTGGTGTGTTGGATGCTGCATGTTTAAGTTACACAAGTGATGAATCAAGAGTTGGTTCATGTGCTAATTCTTCACATACTAGTCCTCCTATTGCTAAGAGGAGAAAGCTAAATGATACAAAAATGGATGAATATTGAGTTGAAGGCCTTTTGGTTGAATGAGAGTTTTGGTGTGATATTTGAACACAACTTCAAATAAACAAAGTAAGGAATTTGGAGAAAATGAATACATAATAGTGGGGGAAAGAGATTATAATTAGTTGGATCAATTTGGAGGTTGAAGATTGAAGTTACAATCAAGAGGTTTCATGTCATTAACATGAAAAAAGAAATTGGAGCTGTTAAATATTAGACATCTTAACAGCTAAAGCAGCCAGAAACTATTAGGCAGAATTAGAGAAAAAAAAAGTTTGTTTTTAGGGTTGAGGGCTTGCATTTATTTTAAGGTTTTTTTATAAAAAAAAAAAGAACCAAAAAAATAGGTGGTGGAAGTTGAAACCCCAAAGAGAAAATCTTGAGTTATGTTAATGAGGGAAGGAAGAGAAATTTTGAGTGTCATTTTATTTGTGTCATTGTGCACTTTGATTTGTGTAAATACTTTATGGTTTCTTTATGAAATTCTAAACTATACAGTCTAGTAATATCTCATTTGATTCTTGTAACTTGTTGCCATTTTTATTAAGAGTTTAATATTTTATCATGTACTTTCTACAGTTCAATTGACATGATGTAGTTTGACTTGACACAACGTTTAAGAAAAAAAAAGACTTTTGAAATATTTAGTTCTAAAGATTAATAGGAGCAAGGGGCAAAAGCTTTATGAGGTCATGATATTTATGTGCCTATAAAAACTTCTCATTAAAGTAAAGTAGGTAAAATAAAAAGTTTAAAGTTAAATTATTTTCAAATATAGAAATGTAACATTCTTTTTAGAACATACTAATAAGAAAAATCTATCATTTAAATAGAAACAGGGTAAAAGATTTTTTACACTATAAGTTATCTAAGTGATATTTACAAGAAAATCTTCATAAGAAGCGGTAATCTTGAAAATAAGATAAGCTACTTAGGGTTCGTTTGGTACGAGGAATAAGAAATAATTAATTTTGGGATTAAATTTGAGATAAGTTTATCCCATATTTGATTGAGATAAAATTTCAATATAATTAATTCTAAGATTAGTTATCCCAAGATAATTAATCTTGAGATAACTTATTTTCTAACCGAATGGTCGCTTATAGTGTATTTTTTTTGTACATGATGTATAAGTTAAACCCTTTTATTAGTGTAATATTCAAGATAATGTATTCTTTTTTTACCATTAAATTTCTGCTGTAGAATTAAATGGAAAGACTAGATTAGCCTTCTGCCATATACTTTTTGTGGAGCACATGTGATAAGTCCTTCTTTGACTGTTTGTCTGGTTGGACTATTGGGGTTTGCTGCTATGCTAAATCAAATAAATACTAACTGTAGACTGATTCACTTTTATCCTTATCAGTATGGACTAGTTTTATTTGGCAATGCAATGGGCACAAATTCTTGCCTTGAAAATAAATAAATAAATAAATAAATGAATCCTTTTCTTCTTTCCTCTTTTTAATTGTTTCTTTAATTTGGAAAATTGGAATGGGACTTGCAGAAAAAGCACTTTTATGGGCAAAGAATAAACTACAATTTGTTTCACTTCAGGCACTGCCACACATTCAGAAATACTACTGTATTTGTAAAGTTATCTCAACTTTTAGCCCCTTTGGTTTATGGAATCAGTTCCCTGAACAAATAGAAAAGGGGCTGACAATTTTCACAAAATCAATCTTGCAAAAAAGCAAGATTCAAAAAGGATATATTTATGGATTTAACTTACATATATTGAAAGTATAAAGAATTTTAAATCATTATTGTAATTTAATCTACTATAATATGTTACCTATCATTTATTCTAGGTCATTAATTAATGATTATTATATGTTATTATTTTTAAGTGATCTGATTGGGTAAATACTTGGGATTGAAGCATAATTATCGTTATTGTTGTTGATCTGATTGTGTAATTATCTTTATGTTATTAGTGCATAAAACCTAAACTTTTTATTTATTTCTAAGTTGATTGAGCAACTAGTCCATCAGCACATTGAACTGTTGATGCCTAGAAATGAGGGGTAAAAAGTAATTTTGAAGTTCCTAACATAAAGAAAAAGAGTGACGTTTTTTCTTTCTTTCAATAACTTGGGCAAATTTTTTGTTTTATTAAACGAAAAATAACAAGTAGGAAGTTACACTTTTTTTTCTTAGTCTTTAAGGAAATAGATATTTAGCCTTCTATATTAAATTCAGTTTCAAGGTACCCAAAGTTTTAATTTTATAAATATGGAGTGTTTACCTCGAAGTATACATTAACAATTAAATTTGATTTGTGGTTTTAAAGATATGTGATTTAGTTCAATACCAATTAAGAATCAAGAAATAAGAAGTACAAATGAAAGATAGAAGTGAATCAAACCAATGTGGCTTAGCAGTAGTGACCTCGAGACGATGACCTCGAGGTGGCTTAGGGTAGTAAGAACAATTAAGTAGAGAAATCAAAGTAAGAACAATTAAGGTAAGGGACAATTCTGATGAACAACAAACAAAAAGTAGAGAGTATATTCTTTGCTTAGTGAAAAGGTGGTCTTACAAATGATTAGAGTTCCCCTTTTTATAATAGGGGAATCCTAAATAAGGAATATTTTTATTTACAGTAGGGAATATTTTTATTACAGTTGTCTTAACCGCATAGTACGGAGCTGTACGATCTTATTCTGAAATTTGCGCCATGAAAATCTTAGGGACGTGGCAGGAATCTAGCTGGCTCCGATACAAATCCATAATGGCATTATTTCAAGGTCGAGCGCACTTGGCCTCGGTATTCCTCGAACTTCTGTTTCCAGGCATTACGCCCTTTCCTCGAGCTCGAGCCTGGTCCACCGGCTTCGAACTTGACCCCTCCCGGACTTGGACTAGGGCGGAACTCGAGCTTTTGCACCGGGGGCGTATGATATTGACCGTATACAGATAGTCCCCGCGTTTCTTAGAATAAGATGATAAGAAACGATTTTCACCTCGACTTCCCCGAGCTTCTCATGATGATGTCATGCCCATGACGTAGGTACTTGAAATGACCGGAAATGTCATGTCAGCGCTCTTCCCCAAAATATCAAATGCGTGTTAGTGTTGGTCGGCCACTTGCGCCGTCGGTCCGTCGCCGTTTCTCTATAAATAGGAAGTTATCCTGTTGAACAAAGAACCGTGCTTTTTTCGTCTTTATCTTCTTTTGGTCTTCTCCCTTCTTTGCTTCCTTCTCTAATCGCCTATTTCCATGGTTCGAACCTGCGAACACATGGTCTTATGGTAGCGACTTTACCAGTTATGCCAAGGTTTCCTTTTTCAAAGCTTTGATTCGAAACAATGTGAGGAGGGCGCCGAATCCTTCTTGCATCAGAAAATATGCGAACTTTACACTGCTGCTCATCTCTCTTAACTTCAACCTGGTGTAGCACTTCATTCCTTTCTCTTTCCATGGAATGAAGTGGCACTATCGTCTACTAACTTTTGCATCCCACCCGGAACAATGTCCCGAGGATAAACATTCTTGGATCGTTGCTCATGCACCTTGCAACCCTTTTGATTTTTCTTGTGATAGAAGGTGAAGCTGCATCTTTTGGTCTTCCCTTCTGGTCTTTTTCTTTTGCTGCTCTTTTTCAATGGATTACGGCCCAAATTTCAACAAAACGTTCAATCTCCGCTGCTGGAAGTATGGTTACATTTATCGAAGGCTTTCCGCCTCTAATATCTTTGAGAACGAAGATATTCCCAACGGTCAAAAACAGGGTTCCCGGAAAGGAGGCTCTCGAAAATGATGCTCTCGAGAACGTGGCCTTAGAAGTAGATTAGGCTTTTGGTTTTTGATTATTTGTTTCTGTGTAAGTACCCTTTGTGGGCGTTGTAGTTATATTTTGTAACCATCTCTCGGAAATATAAAAGGATACCTTCATCTTCCTTTTGGCTTGTGTTGAATTCCATTCTGTCTTTACTTGTGAAAATGTGATTGTGTAATTTTAACGACTAGTCCAAACACCGGACTCAGGTCATAATAAACCCTTAGGTTTTTAATCAATCAACATAATATTCCTTAAGGCTTTCGTTAATTTTCGATCTGAGCTTAAATCGATCCGATGCAAACTCGGAACATCGGGATTCCTGAGCCCGAGTTGAATGAGAGCAAGGTCTCGAATTCAAAATAAAGTTAGCCCTTTGGCTCCATAGACGATCATCGAGTAAGAACTTCCTTCGAACTTGGGTAGCCATTGGGCTTAGTCAGGCGAGTACTTTCTCGAATCCTGAAAATAAAGTTAGCCCTTAGGCTTTTTTTTGTAGTCCTTGAGCGAGAAATTTCTCAAACTCGGGTAGCCCTTTGGCTTAGTAATTGAGTGACCTCTTTGCTCGAACTCGAAATAGATTGATAGAAAACGAATTGACCTTTGACGTCATGATTCTAATGCCAATCTTGTGACGTCAGTGATTGAAGTGACTGGAAAGGCTGCTTTTTGCGTGGTTTCCAAAGTCATTGATAGGAGGCGGCTGACGATCGACCTTTTGGCTTCCAAAGTACGGTTAAGTGACCTCTATAAATGGTCAAACTTCATAACCTTGCAAACTTTATTCTCATATTGTCCTCAAAGTTTTATTAGCTCTTTCAATTTCTCTGAATTCCTCCTTCTCTTCTATCCTAATATCACACTTTCCATTTTCTTTGAATTTCTGTGTTGTGATGGCTAAAACCTCCAAAACGGTTCCCCAGAAAGAAAAAGCTTCTTCATCTTCTCGACCGACCAAGAGCAAACTGGTAGTGCCTCCTCGAATTGAGGAGTGCATCCCTCCGCCATGTGAAATAACTTTCGATTTCAAAATCGAAAAACCTGTGATGACACCAGGCCGATGCGAGCCCATGTCTCGATACGTTTTCTTGATAACCAAGGACGAGCTTGCGCAAGCAAAGGAGGACTGCAAGTGGGAGAACAAAGAAGTAGTGATTCCTTCCTCCAAGGAGGACATCACTACATATAAAGTGGGGTAGTTGAGCGTATACACCTACCCATTTACGATGGGTCCTGCAATTCCGGCTCAAGGTCCCATAGATCCGGTTATTCTTGACTTTTGCGGATGATACCGAGTGACTCTTGGCCAGATCTACCTTTCATTTTGGCGAATCGTTTACTTGATCAGATTCTTTTCGAGCTAAGTTGAGGGGATGTCATTCACCCTCGACCATCTGATCAGACGGTACAATCCCCGACTTTATCGAGGTGGCTTGATAAAATTGCAACGCCGATCCTTGAAATCTCTCTTCTGTAGCATCGACGAGGACAAAGACCGTGGGTGGATGAGCGGGTTTGTCCGAGTCAAGACCTCTGATCTGATTCCTGCCGATAGGATGCCGTTCCCCGAGGAGTGGAACATGAAACGTAAGTATCTGGCAGGTTTATACCTTGCTTTCTCTTCTCAGTTTTACCCTTTTCCTTGGTCTAACCCCTTTCCGATGGCGCAGATACAGCCTGGTTTCCTGGTGGGGTCGCGGACCTCGAAGGCTGGGTCCAAAAGCTGGCTTCCACTTCCTCTTATT